CAGCTAAATCCTGAGATTTGTCTCTGAGAAACAGTGCCTCTGATTATCCTAATTCATAGACTATGCAGGAACATTTTCCTTTAGGGGAAAAAATTGGAAAATAATTTCTGCTTGTAAATTAGTGTTTTGAATGTCAAAGGATGACATCATAAAGCAGAAAAAGAAATAAGTGAAGTAATTTCTTGTAATTACTCAAGTAAGTTATGTACAAGACAACCAATAGTCCTAAGAATAATGAAAACAAGATTAATATGGTCATGCCAGTGGATTAATTTGCCTCATTTTCAGAGAGCCATCCAAGCAGAGATTGAGAAAGGAATTGTTTGGCCATACTATGAGAATAAATTGGATCTGAGTAAGGGAATCCACAGGGACGTTGCTATTTCTGCAAGGAAGACCCTGCCCAAACCCACTGGGGCTCTTCACATCATGTGCGTGCATCTGTTCAGGTTCTCTCCCACTTGTGAACTCACTTCGAATCTGGACATCCCTGCAGGGTGGAAGGCTTGCAGCACACAATTTCTTGGCAAAATTTCTAGGGCCAATGGACAGTGGAACTTGATATCCATTGCCTTGAAGAAGAGCACACACACACAAAAAAATCCTTTAAAGGTCAATGGACACAATTGCCACGTTGTCCCAGAAGTCCAGCCTTGGACCTTCCAAAAGTCAGTCAGAGAGCCAGAGCCCTGGGTCCCCTGGATGACAAAGGGGTGCCGTTGGAGGCAGTCTGGGGTCTCATCTCAGTGCAGCTTTGGGGAGCACATGACCGCTGCTGTTATCGCCAATCTCTTATCCCAAAAGATGAAGTCGTTTCCTGGGAGTTGGAGGCCCACTTCACAGTCTGTGTGTTTCAAAGGGTAAAGATTAATTTTCAAATGGATTTAAAGAAGCATTTTGTATTTATTTTCTGAACGTTTCATTCTATTTTCTTCTGTACTTCCCACGGGACGTGTTAATTAGAAGTGTAAGGCACCCTGTGACAGAAGGAATGAAGGTTAATGGACGGGGCTTCCTCTGGTGGTTATCACCCGGCCTGTTCTGAGTCCTGGTTTCTGGAGGCTCACCTGCCACATTTGAAAGACTACTCAGAACTACAAAGCTGGATGAATGAGCAGACGTTTTCTCCTAGATAACGTTCTCAGTGGATGCTAAAGATGTGGAGGGGGTTATGTTTTGATTGAATAGTTGGCCTTCAGTTGGGTTAAGTTCAGTGATTCTTGAGAGAATTACATGGGGCATAGAAAATTGTACCTTTTGTAAAATTATAAAACCATTTAAAATTTATGTATGCCTGTTTCACCAAAAAGTTGGTCATATTGATAACAATAATGTAATTAAAAACTAAAGAAAAAAATCACCAGACTAACCCAACACCACCACTGGAATAGTGATAATGATTTGTTGAATATCTATTACTTTATGAATACAATTCTAATCACCATAGAGTTTACTTTAGTGCCCCAAATTTACAGAGAAGTAAACTGAAGTTCATTGAAAGCTTGATAATTTGTCCGTCTGAGCCAAGAGTGTTGAACACCCAAATGCACCTGAATTTAACAAATTAAGTAGACTGAAGTTCCTAAAACAGATCACCATGAAACATATTTTACCCCCTAGGCTAATGGTAAAATGTATGACAAACAGACAAAAGAGGCCGGTGACATAGTAGTTACATGTTGGGCTGCAATTCACAAGACCGGCATTTTGAAATCATTAGCCTCTCAGAGAGAGTAAGATGGGGTTTTCTGCTCTCCTAAAGAGTTAAGGCTCGGCTACATACTGCGCCTGCGCACCGGCCTCGGCCTTTTCCCACCTCCTGTAGAGCCGCTCACCTTGCTGGTCTGTGGCGATCCGCGGATGCTGCTCTTTTTCCCTCAGGCTGGGGTTTGTTAAAGTTGTCAAGAACAAGGCCTACTTCAAGAGATACCAAGTGAAATTTAGAAGACGATGAGAGGGCAAAACTGATTATGATGCTCGAAAACGCTTGGTAATCCAAGATAAAAATAAGTACAATACACCCAAATACAGGATGACAGTTCGTGTAACCAACAGGGATATCATCTGCCAGATTGCTTATGCCCGGATAGAAGGGGCTATGATTGTCTCTGCAGCTTATGCTCACGAACTTCCCAAGTATGCTGGGAAAGTTGGCCTGACCAATTATGCTGCAGCCGATTGCACTGGCCTGCTGCTGGCCCGCAGGCTTCTTAATAGGTTTGGCATGGACAAAATCTTGGAAGGCCAAGTGGAGGTAACTGGAGATGAATACAATGTGGAAAACATTGATGGTCAACCTGGTGCCTTCACCTGCTATCTGGATGCCGGCCTTGCCAGGACTACCGCTGGAAATAAAGTGTTTGGGGCTCTGAAGGGGGTTGTGGACGGAGGCTTGTCTATCCCTCCTAGTACCAAGCGATTCCCCGGTTATGATTCAGAAAGCAAGGAATTCAATGCAGAGGTGCATCGAAAACACATCCTGGGTCAGAACATCGCAGAATACATGCGCTACCTAATGGAAGAGGATGAAGATGCTCACAAGAAACAATTTTCTCAATACATAAAGAACGTAACTCCTGACATGATGGAGGAGATGTACAAGAAAGCACATGCCACTATACGAGAGAATCCGGTCTATGAGAAGAAGCCTAAGAGAGATGTGAAAAAGAAGAGGTGGAATCGTCCCAAAATGTCTCTTGCCCAGAAGAAA